TGGCACCTTTCCATTAAGTACAGTCTTTGGCTGGCTGGAACATACAACTTCCCTCCCACCCAAGCTCAGTTATCTTTCATCAGGCAGCTGCTTTGGGGCTCAAAAACCATTCATCGGTGGTTAAAGTTTGTTTAAAAGTTTGGGTGGTGTCATTGTCCTCCAGAGTGTCTTGTTTTTCCTGGGATCTGGTGGTTACTCTAGCAGCTAGTTGATTGTCTTGTATCATGGATTTGATTACGTTTGGCTTCATACTATTGTATTGTGGTTTCCTGGATAGTGCATCTGCCAGAAATCCCCCTCTGGGAGATATCTGAGCGTAAATTCAAACCATTTAAAGTACTGAGCCCATCGTACTTGTTTTGGAGAGAGTTTCCTTGGGATCTTTAGGACTTCTAAATTTTTATGATCCGTCCAGACTTCAAAAGAGGTCTTACTCCCCCTCTAGGAACACATGAAACTGGTACAGCAAATCCTGGAAAAACTTCTAGCCGCCAAGCTATAGGCAAAGTTGTCGAAGTATAAGTTCCACAAGACCTCACTAGATTACTTGGGTTATTGCATCTCCAATGAGGGGATAGAAATGGATCCAGGAAAAATGAAAGCTGTGTTAGACTGGAAACTGCCAAGTACTCGCAGACAACTACAAAGCTTCCTTGGATTTGCCAATTTCTACAGGCAGTTCATTCTGACTTTTGCGGATATTGCCCTCCCATTGACTGAGCTCTTTAAAATGGGGCCTTCCCCAATGAAGCCAAAAGCAAACCAACCCCTGAAGTGGACAATGGATGGTGGGTTCCTCTGTGGGTAGTTCAGGCTGAAGTGGACAATGGACTGTCAAAAACCTTTGAGAAATTAAAACGGCTCTTTACCCAAGAGCCTATACTGCAATACCCTGACCCAGAATGACCATTCATAATCCAGACAGATGCCAGTGATATAGCAATAGTTGCAGTGGTACTGCAAAAGAATAAAGATGACCATCTCTTCCCGTGCACTTACATCTCCAAGAAACTTACCACTACTGAAAGGAGGTGGGCCATTTTGGAGAAACAAGCATTTGCGATCAGGTGGAGCATGCTCACGTAGAGACATCTCCTGGAAAGGGGGGATATGCCATTCGATATCTGGACTGATCATAAAAACCTCAAAGCTCTCAAAGTCCATTGAAAGTTATCCCCCATACCAGTTCGCTGGGCACAATACTTCTAAAGGTTCAAATTCAAAGTTAAACACATCCATGCAGGGAAGAACTTGTTGGCAGATGCTTTGTCGAGCAAACCGCAGTATGACAGTAAGAAGGAAGAAGTTGTGCAACCCATCATTTCTTCCTCCCTCCAAAAGGTGGCCCAGGTCACTACGTGAAGCCAGGACAAGCTGACGTCAGCGCCAAAATCGGCACCCCCAGCAGACCCATGGCTCAACAATAACAAGGACATTCTAACAATGAACTGTGGCTCAACCTGGAAGGGGTCCAACTGTACATCCCTGCGGGGTTGAGGCTGGAAGTTCTACAGCAAAGCCATGATGTGAAACTAGGAGGCCATTTTGGATTCCTAAAAATGTGCCACCTCGCCAGGCATCAATTTTGGTGGCCAAAGATGAAATCAGAGGTGGAAGATTACATAAAAAGCTGTGCTACTTGTGCAATGATGAAGATACAGCCGGGGAAGCCCCCTGGACTACTACAATGAGTGGCCAGCCCTAGCCAACCATGGGAAGAGATCACAATGGACTTCATCGTTGAGCCCCAGACAGCAGTGGGAATAGAGTAATCTGGACAGTGATTGATTTGTTTCCAAGCAGGCGCATTTAATCACTTGCTCAGAGTTGCCATCCACATAGAAATTAGCGAAAATGTTTGTGAAGCACATTTTGCGCCTGCACAGGGTGCCCAAGAGGATCATTTCAGACCGCCGAGTTCAGTTCACCGCCAAGTTCTGGAGAGAGTTCCTGATGTCTATTGGGTTCACACAAGGACTCAGTTCAGCGTTTCATCCCAGCACTAACTGTGCAGCGGAAAGGGCCAATGTGATGGTGGAACAATACATCCAGTGTTACGTGGATTATCAGCAAGACAACTGGTCAGACTTGCTACCCTTCACCGAAGTGGCGTACAACAATGCAATCCACAGTAGCACTGGATTAACTCCTTTCCAGTGGCATGGAATTTGTTCCCATGTCTGAGCTGCCTAGAGAACCTCCCTCCTCCATGTCTCAAATGAATGACAATTCCCTTGTGTATGGAGTGTGTATGGTGTGACTGCTTGCTGAATGAACCCACCTAATTTTAACTACCTTTTTATTA